TTCTTTGTCAGTCTCCTTTACTGGTTCTTCCTTCTCTCCCCAACCTCTACACTTTAGAATTCAAAGAACAAGCTCAATCTTTGGACCTCCTCTTCTCCATTTATACTCAGTCTCGCAGGTGATCTCCTCTAGTCATGCGACTTCAATTAGTGCCTATATGCATCCCAAATTTTCCTACATAATCCAGTTTCTGCCTTGAAATGCAGACTTATGTATCAAATTTGCATAACAACTGTCATCTGAAACTGATCTTCCTCCTACTCTACCTTATCAAAACCTGCTTTGGTCTCTCTTAATTCTAAAAAGAAAAATCTGCAATTTAGACACTGGTGCACAGGAATAAGATATTCCATTAAAAAAATAGTCAAATACCTACAAAATAGCCAAATATAGATGGCTTAAGATAATGTCTTAGTTCTCTTGTGCTGCTGTAACAGAAATACCAAAAGTGGACATCTTTAACAAACAGAAATATGTTCTCTTACAGTTTAGGAAGCTAAAAGTCCAAATTCAGAGTGCTAGCTCTAGGGGATGACTTGGCTAAAAGTCTGAGTTCGGAGTGTCAGCTTTAGGGAAAGACTCTCTCTCTCTCTCTCTCTCTGGCTTCTAGGTGAAGGGTCCTTGACCTTGGGATTCAGTTCTGCTTTCCAGGCCCACTGGAGCAAGCTGGAGGCTTCTCCTGACTCACACAGCAGGCTGCTAAGGCTGACAAATCCAAGATTGGCAGGCAAAATGGCAGATTGTTGGCTCACAGGCTGCAAAGGCAGCGATCCCAAAATTGTTAGGCAACACGACAGGCCTCTGGTTCAAGTCCAGGAATTGGAAATGATGATGGGCCAAATGCAGGATCCCAAAATGAGCCAAAAATCTATGGGACAGTTCTCAAAGCTTCTCCATATATACTGGAAACAGGCCATACCCCAAAGGCAACTCCCCTTCAACTAACTGGCTGCTCACAGCAGATTCTACCATGGAATATACCACATCCAATCTCATTATGGGGAATAACTACATCTAGCTGCCTAGCCACTCAAAATCACCACCCAGGCAAGTTGACACACAATCTTAACCCACAAATGATGAAGAATTTTAACTGAACACAAAAGAAATTATCAGCAAATTGTAATGGATTAAACTGAGTTAATTCTAGCACTAGTAACCTAAAGCAAAAATAGAAATCTTGAATTCTATTCCCATGCAATTATTCTCATTAGCATCCTTTTTTGTTCATCTTATGTACCTTAAAGAGCCAATGAACAGGAAAGAATATCAACAAGGTATTTTAAAATCTAGAAGTATACCAGAATTCATAATTTAAAGTCTGGCTTTTTACAAAAGTCTAAAGCAGACTTTTGTACTCAAATATGTTAATTAAAAAAAAAAGCATCAGTAGCAGTAGCAGGTGAAGGAAGGAAAACCATCAGAAATAAAATGAGAAGGGCCAAAAAGAGGGGAAAATGAATAATGTTGTTGCCCATAATCTAAGGAGAGTTTCAGAGGGAAGGAAACTGTTATTAAGAGGCCATCCAATTCTGAGAGAACACCAAAGGCAAAGAAAAAAATGCCCATGGATTCAGAAACATGGACATCAATGTCACTTCACGGAGAACAACTGGTAAAAATAAAAATTCAACAGGTTGATGAGTTAATAGGAGAAGAAATAGTCCTAGGTTTGTTCATATAACTTGAAAAATGGCTCTGAAAGTGGAAAAAGATAAAATAGTAACTAGAATTTGGCTGTTACATGGAAAACATGACTAATGTGTGTACCACTTCTGCTGTTGCTTGATTTTTCTTAGAGAAATTTTTATTTTCTAAGCCTTCTGACAAAGACTGTAATTTTGATTATTTAGTGAGCATCAGTTATTATACACAAACCCAAACCCAAACCCAACACACTGCCATAGAGTCAATTCCAACCCACAGCAACCTCCACTGGGTTTCCAAGGCAATAAATCTTTACGGAAGTAGATTGCCCCATCCTCCTTATGTGGAACGGCTAGTGGATTTGAACTGCCAACTTTCTGCTTAGCAGTCAAATGCCTTAGGTACTGTGCCACCAGAGCTCCTTAGTAATTATACAACAGTATGTTATAACACAAAAGTATCTCAGGGCCTACTAACACATCTGCAATACTTTTTGGGGATTTTTCTTCTGCTTTTGTAAAATAAAATTCATTGATTTCTGATAGCTGTTGGCTTGTTGTTTGGTTTTGTTGTTTTTTTTTTTTTTTGGTTGCTGCTCATACCTGTCCTAACAGCTACATTAAAACAAATTTGCTAAAGAAGTGCCTGAAATGATAGAAGGTTTATAATGTTTTTCTAATATTAGTAAAGCACATAAATCTCAGTAGCCAGACTTCTAAACTTTAATTTGTAATTCTATGTTCTGAGACATTAAAAATTAGTCAAGAAAAAAATAAATGATGAACATATCACCTCTCAGCAATACAAATAACAAGCAACAGATTCTGTTGCCATATGAAAAAAACAGTATAGTTTAAGAATCAATGAAGAAACCACACTTAAACTCACAGTATATGAAATTTCCTTCTGAGAAGGATAAAACACACACAAAATAAAAGGTTACCAACTAAGAAATGATAACTATCATTAAACTTACTGTGCTAATAGCATGCCATGAACTAAAAATCTAAAGGCAAGCAACCAAAGCTAAATCCAGTTTTTAACTTTCAAAATACACCACATGGACAGCTAAATAGTCATCTCTCTACATTTAACTGCATTGTGTAGGATGGTGTCCAAAGCTCTTACAATTAGAATATCAAGAATTTAAGGTAAGAGCTATAAACTCATTAAATAGCTGCATATGCTGCAACTTGCAATGTCTTTCTTATACCAACTGCCATAAGGATTTTTAAAGGTCTTCCCCCAATGTCATTCTCCATATAAATATTTACTGAATGAATAAGGTTTACCCTAAATCGTGCCTACTATCTTTCTACAATGCAAATTTTATCATATCATTCTCCTGGGTTTGAAATCCTCAATGGCATCAAAATGCTTCAGCATTGTAACCAAGGTCCTCCATAATATACCACACTTGCATTATCATTTGTTCACTCTACAATTATTTACTGAGCACTTACTTTGTACCAAAGGAGCTCTGGTGGTGCAGTACCTACGGTATTTGACTGCTAACCAGAAGATTGGTTGTTCAAACCCACCAGTCACTCTGTGGAAGAAGACAGGGCAATCTACTTCCGTTAAGATTTACTACCTTGGAAACCCAATGGGGGTCGCTATAAGTCAGAATAAACTTAATGGCAGGGGGTTGGGTTTGGTTTTTTTTTACTTAGTACCAGACACTGTACTGACCTGATGATGGTAGCTTAAAGCCAAGGGAAAGCAGTTATGGTGGTACAAAGATATTAGATTCTAGATCTATTATGAAGGTAGTACCAACAAGATCTCCTGAGGTACTGATATGGAGTGTGAAAAAAACACAATAAAAATAACTGCAATGTTTTTGACCTTAGCAAGGAAAAGGATGGACTTGCCATTAAGATGTATTAACCTCAGTAAACTGACAGGTAAGCGCCTCCCTGAATACATCTTGTGCCCTCATAAAACTGCTCTCTAAATTATCAGAATATCAATTTAACATTATCACTGTATTCATAAAATTGTACTTGCTGATCTTTAATTCCTGCCTGTATCCTGAAGGTAAGTACTGAATTTTTCCTTTAAATAACCAGAACCAAGAAGAGGCTAGCCTGTCCTTCCAAATAGGTTTGGTGAATGAATGCCCTCTGGAAAAGAAATCAACTTATAATTTAAAAAAAAGAAAACACTCTGTCTCTGAAAAACTGATATATTAGAGAAGAGATTTTTGTCTCTGTCTCTCCTAAGCATGACTTTTTTTGTTTCTTTCAACAAACTAGAAACCAGATACTGTGTAAGATCATTCCTCTCATGGAGCTTTATGTCTCAGAGGATACGATACCATGGGAAAATAAAGATATTCATCCAAGTCTGAAGGGGGGATAAGAAGGTTTCATACAGGAATGATGCTTGAATTTGATCATGAAAATGAAATGAGATTTTTCCCACTGTCTCCTTTTTCTCTGGGAATAACAAGAGATGGCATTGCATAAACCATAAAGTTTTTTATAATGAGTTTGGAATTAACCTAAAAATAATAGAAAACTAATGAAAGGGAGAGACATAATCCAATTTTTAAAATATGGGTTACTGGGAGATCATTCAGAACATGGGGTGAAAGGGAAGAGGTTACAATCAAGAGGGGAAAGGAAACAAATAGGTAAGTCTTTATCAAATTAATAGTCTACCCTCAAGGTTTCTGGCCTCGTGCAATGGTGGTGCCATTATCTGGACAAAGAACATTAAAGAATAAGATTTCACTAGAAAGATTAACTGAAAATATGACTTCCTAAACTTGAAGCAATTAAAATAAATCACTAGGCTTTTAGACTCTTATTTGGTTGCCAAGTGATAGCAAGAAAGAACAAGTGCTGTAACTTTGATCATTATGTACCGAATTGAAATTGTTATCTAATAAAGTATGTTGGTCCAGCTTATCTCTATTTCTATATAAATCCCTTAAGGGCAAGAGCCATAAGAGTCATTACTACTTTTTTATCATCTCCCTTCTCAACAGTCAGCACAATGCTGCTCACAGAGTGGTTACTTCGTAATTTAAATTCTGTGAAGTTAAGAGATCCCTGTATTCACCACCATTCTCAACTTTTTCTCTGCAATTAAAAGAAATTTAATGGAGTAAAATTCGCATTGTGGTGTGGACACAGACTTTCAAATTGGAAACGTTTTCATCAGAACCTTGTGAATCATACCGTGAAGCACTGAGAAGTGTCTTCACAGTTGCTCAGTAACTAAAATCATGAATATGTTAATGATATTAAATTGACAGTAAAAAATTTCTACTTTATTTTTAAAAAAAAAAGTTTATTAAAACATTTACTAATCAAAATTTTTTAAATTTTAAATAATCTGCTAACCTGGAGAGCATGTCTCATTCTGTGATGTAACTTCAGACTCATCCTTTTCACCTGAAATATCCTCTTCATCAGAGAGGACCAAAAAGGCTTCTTTTGGTAAACTCTCGCTACTTTCTTGTTTAGATGGTGAACCAAAAGAACCTTCCATTTTCTCTTCCAAATCTGGATTTGTCTCATCAATTGGAAGGAGGGAAGTTTTAGAGAAGCAAGGAAGTTCATCTTCAGCAGGTGCAAGCTTTTCCAAAATAGGAATAATTTCATCTGTCTCCATGGAATCAGTGTTTTCTAACATATTTGCATTTTTATCATCTTCTATAACATTTTCACTAATGGTTTCTGCAAGGTCTGAAGAATTTTCATCTTCATTTTTCTCACCTTGATCAATTTCCATACTACTAGATATAGCTTCTTCTCTAAGAACAAGCTCTGGGATACCATCTTCCTCTACCTTCTTTTCATTTTCAGGAAGCAGATCTGAACAAATAATGGTTTCATCTGTTTCTAGAGTTTCTTCATTAGCATCTGTAGCACCTTTGTTTTTCTCATCAAATGAATCTGTACTCTGAATTTGGTCTAAGTTCTCATCATCCCTATTTTTTTCAAGAAAATCATCACCTTTATTGCTACTAGGCTCTGTTGTTTCAGGAACTGCTTCACAAACTGGTACAGAAGTTGGTTCACGATCAGACTGATCATCAGAGGCCAGTGTTCCAGAGGTCCGTTCATCAGAGGTCAGTTCGTCAGAGGCTGGTTCATCCGAGGTTGGTTCAACAGTGGCTGGTGTTCCAGAGGCCAGAGCACCAGAGGGCAAATCACCAGAGGCCAGAGCACCAGAGACCACATCACCAGAGGCCAGATCACCAGAAGCAGCTTCATCAAAGTGGGGTTCATCAGATGCAAGTTCACTAGAGACGAGTTTATCAGAGGTGAGTTCACCAGAAGCGGGTTCAGCAGAGATGGATTCATCAGAGGCAGGTTCACCAGAAGAGGGTTCACCAGAAGTGGGTTCACCAGAGGCAGGCTCACCAGAAACTAGATCACCACAGACTGGATCACCACAGACTGGGTCATCAGAAGTTCGCTCACCAGAAGCAGAATCACTAGAGGCAGGATCACCAAAGGCCAGTACTCCAGAGGCTGAATCTCCAGAGCCCTGATCACCAGAGGCCAGAACACCAGAAGGTGGTTCAGAAGTCAGCTGACAGGCTGCTTCAGCAGTTACAGTATTAGAAAATAAAGGTTCACTATTTAAATCATCATTCTGCTTGTTTTTAACATTAACATTTAGGACACAAGGTGTTTCTTTCCATTCTGCTTTACTTTCTTCAGGGTCAAAACAAAGTTCTTCGATCCCATTAACCTCTTCCTTGTCTTTAATATAATCCATATTTTCCAAAGGTGAGGTTGGATCCAAATCTCCATTTTCATGGTTGCCATTTAACAGCTTGACGTCAGTCTTCAACAATTCTTCTTTGACCTTGTAGACTACTTCAAGTTGTTGCCGATCACTCACTCTCATTGTTTTTCGAGCCTTGAAGACTTTTTTCTGAGGTTCTTCTATACTGTCCATTTTGAATCTTTAAAAGAGAGAAAGAGAGCGAGTGTTTAATAATTGAAACAGAAGTCACCTGATTTATATTCTTCTGCAAATTAATAAGAGAACTAAACAGAACTTAATGAAATTTTAAAATAGCATATAGAAAAGGTCATAATAATCCTAATTTTCATATTTCCTAGATTTAAATAATACAAAATTAATAAATGAGTATAATCCAGACTAGAAGATCAATTACAAGTAAGTATTAGGACAAAAAGGATTTATTTTCATTTTCAGTAAGCTAATGAGATTCACAGAGCCTGGAGGAAATATATAAACATTAAAAAGGAGAAGATTAACAATTTGGTTAACAAAGAAAATGAAGAAAATCAGTCAGTAGGGGAATAGGAAAGAGGTATAAGATAAGAAAAAAAGAAAAGGAGAATTAATGAACAGGAAAATAAAAATATTAATAAGACATTGCCATCAAGAAAGTGAAGACAACCCACACAACAGGTGAAAATATCTGCAAATCATTTATCTGATAAGAGACATGTATTTTAGATAGATTAAGTATCTAGTATATAAAGAAATGTTATAACTCAATAATAGAGAGAAATAATTCAATTTTAAAGTGGGCAAATGTCTTGACGACTTTCTCTTATGAAGATATAGAAATGGCAACAAGCAAGGAAATGCAATCAAGAAGCACAATGAGATACCACTTCACATACACTAAGATGGCAATAAACAAAAAGACAGATAATAACAAGTGTTGGCCAAGATGTGGAAAACTGCAAACCTTATACAATGCTGGTGGGACTGTAAGATGGTACATTAGCTTTGAAAACAGTCTGGCAGTTGCTCAACATGTTAAAACCTAAAGTTGCCAAATGATCCAGTGATTTCACTCCTATGTATATACCCAAGAGAAGTAACAAATTTCCATACAAAAACTTATTCATGAATGTTCATAGAAGAATTATTCATAACAGCAAAATGAAAGCAACTCAAATGTCTATCAACTGCTGAATGGGTAAAAGAAATATAGTATAAGGTATCTCCACAGCTCTTCAGAGTTAACTTTGTTGTTGTTGTTGTTGTTATTTGCCGTTGAGTTGGCCCCGAATCATAGCAACCCCTCCTTGGGTTTCCAAGGCAGTATCACTACGGAAGTAGGATTGCCCAACCTTCCTTCTGAGGAGTGGCTGGTCGGTTTGAACCGCCAGCCTTAGGGTTAGCAGTCAAGTGCCTTAGGCACTATGCTACCAGAGACTTTACGTCTCTGCTTTTTTGCTTTTATGAAAAAAGGCAAGAACTGAAACTAGCATTCAGTGTTTGTTTTGCTGTTAAAGAGGTAGTATGCATTCCAAGCAGCGAAAGTGCTATCACCAAGCTCTTTTCCTAGGAACTACAATCTGCTTCGAAGCACCAGGCCACCTTAGCTTTGAAGTGTGTCTGTGAATACCAATGTTAGTGTTATTTTACATTTTATATGTTATTTGGTATGATCTGGTAGGTCATTTTTTTGGGTCTAGGAATACTCAAAAATTTTTCCTACACATATTAATGGTAATTGCTTCTTTGCTTTATGCCATTGTGGCTTATGAATGGTTTCATAGGAATCTTCTGCTTTCAAGTATCAGGGGAAACCTGTGTTCATACAATACTATTTGGCCATAAAAACAAATGAAGTACTGATTACTGATACATGCTGCAACATGAATAAACCTGGAAAATATTGGTAAGTGAAAAAAGTCAGCGACAAACAACCACACATGTAATGAATCTATCAAAAGGCCTCTGTGAAGTGTTAAAAGCAAACATGTCACTTTGGACTAAGGTGCACCTGGTCCAAGCCATGGTATTTTCAATAGCCTCATATGCATGCAAAAGGTGGACAATGAATAAGGACGACTGAAGAAGAATTAATGTACTTGAATTATGATGTTGGAGTAGACTATTAAATATACCGCAGACTGCCAGAAGAAAAAACAAATCTGTCTTGGAACAATTACACCCATAAAATTTCTTACAAATAAAGATGACAAGCCTGCATCTCAATACTTTGGACATGTTATCAGAGGGTTCAGTCCCTGGAGAAGGACATCATCGTTGGTAAAGTAGAAAGTCAACAAAAAAAGATGAAGACCCTCAACTAGATGGACTAACACAGTGTCGGTAACAATGGGCTCAAACATACCAATGATTGTGAGGATGGCACAGCACTCTATAGTGTTTAGTTCTGTTGCGCATGGATGGGGTTGCTACAAGTCAGAACAGACTTGATAGCACCTACAACATCATCTATATGAAATGTCCAGAATTAGCAAATTTAGAAACAGTAAGTAAATTAGTAGATTGTCTAGGGACAGAAGAAGGGTTGAGTAGGGGATGCTGCCAAAGGATACAGGGATTCTTTATAACGTGATGAAAATGTTCTAAAATGGACTATAGTGATGACAGTAGTGAGATACATGTATCTCAATAAAGCTATTACTGTCTTAAGGGGACATACTGTAATTTGTGTTCCCTTTTTGATCAAGTCTTCCTAGAGTTTTATGAGTTTTTTTATTCAAAGAAAGAATTTTTATCTTTGCTGTATTTCTGTTTTACGTCTGCTTGATTTTTTCTTTAATATGTATTATTTCATTTCTCGTACTGCTTTCAAAAAGTTTTAAACTAGCATTTTTTCCTTTAGGTTCAAGCTTAATCATTAATTTTCAATCTTTTCTCTTTTTTAATATATGCATTTAAAGCTGTAAGTTTCCCTCTGAGAACGGAAGAACTAGAAATGGTGCTCAGCTACCACTGTCAACCACTCGGAAGAGGATCTATATAGGAGATCCTGGATAGAGTGGGAGAATAATGTGGAACAAAACTCAAAATCATTTAAAAAATAAAAATAAAAAAGGACCAGGTTTGATGGTCTGATAGAGCCTGATGGAACCACAGAGACTCCAGCCCCTAGCTGCCCATCAGGTCTGGAATTGAACCCACTCCTGTGGCTTCCCGATAAACAAAAGACAGGCATATAAGCTGAACATTTACATTAGGTAGATATATTCCTTAGAGAGATCAATCACAGGAGAACAGAAGGGCTGTGTATTCAGAGGAAGACAGTTCAGGGGCAGGAATGCACAGAGGGAAGGACACAGGGAAGAGTTAACTATGGGAGGAAGAGAGAGGGGAGCTGTTGCATTGTGGGCAACTGTAATCCATGTCATGAGACAAAGTGTATGTAAGCTCTGTACGGAAAGTAAATTTGTTCTGTAAACTTTGATCCAAATCACAATTTGAAAAAAAAAATAAAAAGCTACAAGTTTCACTCTATTCACTGCTTTAGCTGCAAATCATATTTTGATTGCCATGTTTTATTATTCTGCTAAAATCTTTTCTAATTTCAATTTATGATTTCTTCTCTCATCTGTAAGTTATTCAGAAGTATTATTTCTTAAAAATATAGTATGACCAAGCAATGTACACTATCTACTACTACTATTTTCAGCAGGAGTGATGGGAGGATAAGAGTCTAAACAGGAAGGAAAAAAGTAAATTAAACTTAATTTATTGGCTTGTTCTCATGCTTTGACTCCAGCAGGAAAAAAAAAGTAGCCTAACATTAGGGAATTTACCCAATGCTTTAATGTTCCTATACATTGATCTGATGATGCTTACAGGTCAGCTGTGTTTTTCTTCTACTGAATAGTTAAAAAATCTCACAGATCATTTATGCCAGACAAGGTCACTACGTAACGCATAAAATACCACCTCTCCCACTACATGAGTGGCTGCTATTTCTTAACCAATTACAGTTTTATCCTCCTTGTATAGTCTGTTCTGCCTAAACCAAAAACCAAACCAGTTGTCTTCAAGATCCCAACTCATAGCAATTCCATGTGTTTCAGAATAGAACCGAACTCCGTAAAGTTTTCAATGATTATGGTCTTTCAGATGTAGATCGCTAGGCCATTTTCCCAAAGAACCTCTCAGCGAACTGAACTGCACTGCTAACCTATCAGCTGAGCACTTAACCATTTGCACTATTCAGGGAACTCCTATTTTCCCTATGGGTAAGATGTGTTTGAGACTATAAAATTTCCCCCCATTTTCTGAAAGCATTCAATCCAGAGTAACGCTCATCCACTTTCTTATTTCTTAAACATTATGCAAAATAACACAACCAAGACCCAAATCCTGTACTACGTTTTTTGAAACATTCTCTTAGTGATATGCCTCCCAGTTTCCTCATGGAGAACATTCCTCCAGTCTGTGACAAATAATAAATCAACTTGTTCAAATACAGGTATGTCCCTGGTGGTCTTTGGCTGAAGGGCATAAAACAATAGGCCTAGCCTATTTATCAGAGTTCTTTTGGACTGTGGTACATTCTGCAATCATTCTCTCACTTTAAGCCAATGACTTAAAATATTATTTCTTAGTCTTCCTAGCCTTTTTATTTAAATTAGGAAACTGAACAAAACTATTTAGAAATTTACCTTTCAACTGAAACTCAATACAAATTCATCACAGCTGCTATTTTAAGGATTATTAATGGTAATCTAAAATTTAAACCTCAAAGTTTTTCCCATAATTCATTCCAAAATTAGGATAACTGAAAAAAATTCCACAAGGAAATAGAGTGTAAATACTAATTTTTCCTTGCTACTTTCAAACATACAAAATATTTAAATTTATAATTTAGGAAGTATAGTTATTCTTTAGATATTTTCAATGACTGAACTGCAATTCTCATCACCATTAAAAGTAGACATTTTTTTTTAATGTACATTTTCATAACTTTAACTAACCCAATTAGCCAACCCAGTAACAACATGAATTGCAAATAAAGATATGGGTTTGAATTGTAGCTCTCCCATGTATTTACTATGTGACAACAGACATATTACCTAACATTTCTAAGTTTTCGTTTCAGTTACCTTAAAAAAGAGTAATACTAGTATGTGCTAGAGATTGGGGTGATGATTAAGTATTTAGGACATAATAAGCATTCAATAAATGCTATCATATAG